ACTTTAAAAGAAAGGAAAAAAAATTCTTTCGCGCTTTGGAAACCCACATGCCTATTCTCAAAACCAGGCTTGTAGCTTATATATTCCGCCAATATGAGACAAAATAACCAGTAAGTATTAACACCCGCTAAAAGCAAAGAGAAGAACACATTTTAAAACGCAGTTAGCTGTTAGACAATTTGCAGCGAAATTCACATTTTTCAGCATAATTTCAACTGGTTTAATAACCTGCGAAATAATAAAGTGGTTTTAGTTAGAGCTAATTTATAATTACTTGAACAAAGCAATAATTTTTATTCCAAATTAATTTTTTTCTTACCAAACTGTGAAATAATGCAAAGTTTCAAGGTTTAAAAAATAAGTAACAATTCAAAGAAATATAATTAGTTCTTTGAGGTTATCAAGCAAACCGAGCTACCTAAGGTGGTCAGTTAACCATCTAAACTAACGAAATAGAGCTTTTCGTAAGGTCATGAATCAATACTCCGCAAAATCCTGAAGTTTGAATATTGAACTAATATAAATATATATATATAAATATATATATATATATATATATATATATATATATATACGGAATAAAGAGTTTACTAAGAAATATAGATTCAGGTAGTCGGAGAAGATGCCTTGGGTGCGCTGTTTGGCGTCTTGATTCTTATTTTTTACCCCCACACTGGGATCGCCATCATCATCATCGTCATATCAGATATTTCGCACAATAAAATTTGGAAAATAATTTCCCTAGGCGTTAATAATTCAAATAAGAGTAATAATTCGAGATTTTAATCTTTCTAAATTAAATTTAACTTCAAAATTAAGCCCATTTTATTGTGGAACTTGAAGTGGTTTCTTAATTTTAATTGCCTTCAGTGCTCAATTGAGTTATCGTCCTTGCCTTTCTCTGGCATAAATTAACCTTCTGGTCGTGAGCTTGATTAATAAAACGTCAGAATTTTGCCATAATTGAGTGGAAGATTAATTAATGCCAATTCATTGGAATACGAAAAATTTCATAATTAATTTGTCATCATTGTGAAGAAGGCAATTATTTGAAATTGCAAATAAAAATCATTGAAAGAAATACGATAAGCTTATAATAAATTAATCTAAATATAGGATAGAGATCAAGTATTTAAAGATCCTATTTAAAAATTAATTATGCTTATCTTTGGTGAAAAGTTGAATTAATCTAAACTAAAAGCGATCAATACCCTTTAGGAAATTAAGAATACCCTAATCAGTCTTCCATTCCCAGTCGATGGGTAAATTATCTCCTAAAAAAGGAGGCCGTAAAGTGCGGTTGCAATTTTATAATACTAATGGATTTTGAAAGCATAAACAATGACTCATTTGATCTCATGAACTTATTCTCAATTGGCAGTCCATTTGCTCCTCCTTTGATTTCTGTTTTTATTAGAATATCTAAATTCATCGGTTTTTTTTGGCAATTCCTTGCAAATTAGAAATAATACTAAGAACTACGTGTGCTGAAATAAAGACGGTCATGAGTATTTAACAAACTTAGATTTTCTTCATCTTCTTCTTCTTCTTGAAATCATTAAAGCTTATTTTCTAACACAAATGTAAGTCATTTAGACGAGGGAAGAGATATTTTTAGATCAATAAATTGGATCGGATGATCTCTTGCGACGATTTAAACTGCATTCAACTAATATCAATTCTTGATTTTCGTCAGTTGTTAACTAATACTTAAAATTCCAGGTATAAGTGGTCATTAAAATCTTATCCTTAACAACTGTTGTAAGATAGAAGGCAATCAACTGCATTATAAAGTGCCAAGTGTATAAGAACTAACTAGAAGTGAATGAGTTGGCCCGTAAAATTGTACAATGAATATTAGTGGTCAAAAGGCTATTTCAATTGGCATACTGCCGGTGTTATTGTCAGATTGAAAAAAAGAGGCCTATAACCCCTAAAGTTACCTTTCATCTAAGACCAATTTTTTTAATATAAAACAAAAGACCTGATAGGTATTACTTAAATGGTGTTTAAGTATAATGGTAGCGTTCTCAATTAATACATTAGTCACAATATATCCACATCTTCCAAGTGTCATTACTTTGTAAATCTCATTTGCGGGTTAAATAATTGTCTCTTCATTTTTATGTCTCCTAAATTGACGTGGCTTGATTTGATCACAAATAAAATTACAATTAAATATGTGATTTTGAAGTAAACAGAAAAAATTAAAAAAAGAAGACTTACAAAAGCGGTGTGAAAGAAAATAATTAAAAATGGCAGATCACATGTAAATTTCCATGCATTACAGAGGTAACTTCTGTTGTCTTTGAGTTCTCTGGGAAGTGAACTCATGACTTCTCGTCTTATTAAATTATTTTTTTGCGCCTAAATTAACTCAAATCAACAGCTTAAGTTTTAAAGGTGAAAGCCCGTACTTTTCAAGATAGTGGCTAACCAAAATAAATTTCCCAAATCCCATAAAGGCAATTATTGAAATTTTTTAAAATAATAGGTTTAAGGAGGATTTTGTTGAGGTGCCAATTTATCTAAGTACCCTTTCAATTTGACAAGAAAATTTGTCATTCTTCATGCTCGAAAAAATGCTCCAACTCGAATACCAATCTCCCATCCCCATAAAAGCAAATTAAATCTTGTCAGTCGGTTTTCGATTTTTAAATAGGGAGAAGAAATATCGATCTAATAATCACTTTCGGGTCTAGATCAGTGAGCCTTCCCCAAGCTAAAATGGTTCGCAGAAATAGTGGCAATCATTGTTTAGGATTAGTTCTCACCATGATAATGACAGGGCAACAGCTGAGAAATCGATTAAAATTCACCAGCCTTTTGCCAAAATAGTGTTCCCTTCAAATGAGGGAGCTGACTAAATTAGTTGATAATTACATTAAATTTTAATTTTTTGTCGTTGTGAAAAAGTTCCATTATTACAGACTTCGTGAATACTTAGTATACCTAAAGATGAAATTCAATAGAAGGTTATTTGATTTCTCGTTGACAAGTCTCAAAAGAGCTGCGGGCGTGAGGAAGTTTTCATTGCCAAATACAATTTGCATTCTCAGGCCTTTGTGATATTTTGTCACCACAATTAACCGTGATCTTGGACTTTGCAGGCGCACCCATTCTCCACTACGCCATCGGCGACCACATTTATAATAAATTGAACCAAAAATCTGACTTAATAGCCATGGGTACAATTGATTCATCGTGTAAAATCTAATCGGCAGAGTGAAATATTACCTCCACGAGAACCAATTTACATATAGATAAACAATCTAGATCATAATACAAATAGGAAATATAAGCACGAAAGCATAAGAACAACTTTCATATTCTGAGCTAATTTAGTACTAACGCTTACGTGGGGTGGTGAGGGAGGTGAGTGAATGACAAATTCTCTCAAACAAAATAAATAAATAACATCATCCGTTTTATTCTACTCGTTCGTTTTCTTCTTCTCTTTTTTTGACTTTGGCAAATCCCCTCCTTTTTTGCCAAATCTATTCTTCTCGGTAAGCAAAAGGGGGGGGGGAGGGGCGGAAAGAATTGTGGGGGGAGGAGGGGGGGGNTGGGGGGGGGAGGGGGGGGGGGAGGGCAAAAGGGACTACTTGCGCTGAACACTTGGAATTACGCGAAGTAGCTATATTTAGCAGGCCAACTAGCATTCACAGGCTTTCAGATGAAAGAATATGGCTAGGAGATATGGGTGGAGGAGAGAATTGATTAGCGCCTGCGTGTAGAAGATGACATAAATATCATTAGAGAGGGAGGGAGGGAGGGAGGGAGGGAGAAATTTAAAACGCACAGCGCTGGCTGATACGTGCAGCGTAGGTGTGGTTAGAAGGAATAGCAAAGTTGAAAATGTATGCAATTCTAAATTTATCCAAGTTGAGGAAGTTGGTAACATTCCTCAGGGAAATATTTATAGAGGGTGGGATGCGAAATGGCTAATTTCTAGGAATAGGAATTTATTCCACCTTGCACTCCATTTGTTAAGCCCTGATCTTCAACAATCGTGCCGTCCTCTTAGCTACATTATTGGCCGACCATTCAGCAAACATACTCTGCCTACTCTCTCTCTCTCTCTCTGTGCTCCCAGTGAAGCGAAGGACCTCCGTCTTTCAAATTTCTACTGAATCTCAACGACCATAACCACAGCATTTCTCAGCGAGATGCTTCTATACTAAACTTTTCGCTACAAACCATTATATTATATTAGATCTCGGGGCGGTAAATCCGTAAGTATTATTTTAACTTAAAGACTAGGAAGAAAATTTTATGGAGGACGCACGCAAACGCAACATTATCAACCCGAAGCAGATAATTGTTCCGTAAGAATGATTCAGCAATTCTAATACCACAATTTTTTTGTCAACTGTGGGGCAAAAACAACCAAATTTGATTAAAGCCAAATACAAAATTCATTACAAAAAGAAATGGACATTTGTAGCAATTTAAATTAAGTTGAAAATATTTTTTTTGCCTTAACTCCAATTACATCTAATTGTAGGTCGAAGCATCTTAGCCAGCGTTATACAGTTGCTTCAATCTATCAGACTTAAAGTATGCAGGCAAGATGCTTCACACGCTCTTCAAAGAACTGACCAATCGAGCCTGAAGACAGCAAAAAATAGACCATTAGACAAAGTTTTGAATATCGATCTTCAAAGCCAAAATTAGATAATTTAGTGCATCGCAAAGTTAAAGTACAAAGACACCTTTGATGCTTTAGCCTTCACTTTAAGTGCCACAAAACTTCTTTCAGTAGGGTAATAAATTCCATCAAATCACGCGATTCTAAATTCGAGACGTTAAAACAAGGCTCATTGAATTATGTCCACCAAATTCAAGATTATAATCCAATGAATAGTGAATTCAAAATGAAGTTGGCTCATTCAGTATGCTAACATTTATCTATTAATCTTTACAGACAAGGTTGGGTTAGTAAGTCGCTTTATTGATGGCAAAAAAAGGTGAAATTTTTATGCAAATTTCCCTCGTTCTTACCTCAGATTCAGGTCATCTCTAAGTTGATTTGACGTTTTTAGCGAATCTTTGTCAATATAAATGACCTTGCCAAGTGGTCTAGACTTCTGGCTGTTAGTCATCACGTTGGCACCATTCTCCTTTCGATGACGAAACATAACCGGCGAGGGCGGTTGGCTGCGACTTCTCTCCTTTCGACCCTCCTCCCAACACCAGGCCTGCTGTTCCTCCAACCAATTCTGCTGTTGGCCAATTATTGACCCCGGTCGGCAGATACGGATCCATGCTATTGCCTCGGGCGCAGTAAATTTGTAGTGTTTCATGAGATAACAACCGATCAGAGTTCCTGTACGACCTAGTCCAGCTGTTAGGGCGGGGAGGGAAGGGGGGAGGAATAGAAGAGGTAACGATATGAGTAACTTTACTAATGTAAGTCTATCACAACCATTCAAACAAAAAATAATCGTAGTAAAAGATGAATCTGGCTAAATCTGCTTTCACGACGAAACTGCGAAATACAAGAGCACGAATTCTAAAAGAGTACGTCTCAGGTTTACATTGATTGCATACAATTTAAATGAAAAGCTTGTTTTCTTTGTTTTTTTTAAATAATGGAAAATTATTAAATGAAAATTCCATCTCAATCATACTATCACTGATGAATGCTCTTTTAAAAAGTGTAACTCGACCCCATTCCCTAACTAACTCTTCGAATACAATGTTTAAAATACTTTCAAATCCTCACTTACAGACTTCCAGACAAATCCGCTTCAAGAGCATTACATCAATGTCGCATATTTTATTCTGCTATGTTCTAGAAACAGACCACGAAAATCACTTCAAATGAAAGCAAGTGAGCTTAACGTTAATTAATTTCGTTTACCAAGAAATGAAATTTAGTTGATTATATCATGTAAGGCGCCAAGAAACGAAGCTCTGAATTTCAGTACCTTCTATTGCAGTACTCGTATCGGGTTTAAGATAGGATAGATAGGGACAAAAACTGTTGCGTTCTTCTTTTAATTGCAGGCAATGATAAATAGGTTGATTGATTGGTTGAAATCTAAGCCAACGGACAACGTAGTTAATCCATTGAATTCTACTGAATCCCTCCAGATATTATGGAAGGAAAATAGTAATGATACTTAAAAGTAGATTAAGTAATAATAACAAAATGATCTTGGCAAGCAGGCCTGTTATTTACCACGTGTCTAGGGATAAAAAAATATATTTAAGGAAGTATATTATTATATATGAAAGATGGTTTCTAGGGTATAGTTTCTTTTAGCAGATAAGAGGTCTATTAAGTCGTAGTAAATAAGCGTCTTAGCGTGAAATGTACTAAACCTTGTCACTAAAATAGCCATTATTTATTTAATCAAATTATTGTGATTTCAACACTTTTAAACAAGTAACGTTGAGAATGCATCCAAATATTAGTTATCATGGAATCAGAAGGGCCTTGGAAATAAAATCTATTTCAGGGTGAAAGGGCTTTTGAACAGTTCTATTGGACAGGAATGTCTTTGATTTGATCGAACAGGTTCGATTCCTTTCTCTCATGATAGAAAATGCTAGAACATGAAGTCGAAATTTTCAACTGAATATAAACATCCACACTAGAATAGTCAAAGCAATGCTCTTCTAGAGGAAATTATCATTCTTCAACTTCAGCAGACACAAACAACTTCATTGTAGACTACAATGTTAACTAACACGAAGAATACCATATCTATTGAGCCCGCAAAAGATTATCCTTGAATTGGAATAGGAAACACAAAGAATTCATGTTTCACGAAGAACATGGCGTTTTTTATCTTCATGAGTGAAAACACGACTAAATAGACGCAAGAGAAAATATCCCCAGCAACAATTGTTCATACTTCACTCAACTGGAAGCTTCACCCGTGAAAACTCAATTCGAAAGGGTGCTTAATTAAGGAGGAAGAAAATTGTGCCCTTTGAGAATATATATACTAAAAATACCTAACAGATATTATGAATAAATTTGCATTCGAATGCATTTGGATGAGATCTTGTTTGGTAGAGAAAATTCCCTATAAGGAGTAAATCCAAATTCTGTACAAAATTAGCGTATAGATTCCGTTCGAGTAACCTTGAATAAAAAAGCTACGATCTTTAAAAGAGCATATTTATTTGCAAACCAATAATGAAGAAGTGGAATTTTCGAAATTCGCGTTAATGCAGGAAGAGGGTGGCACGTGTCAATAACCCCCCCCCCCCCCGCCCGCACACACACACACACAACTCCGAGTAGATTGCATGACCTCAAAAGGGACATTTTCACTCTTTTGCATCAGAGGTTCACATACACGTGATGAAGAAGTAGAATGTGTGACGGCGAATTTATATGTGAAGAGAGCTTTAAAGTACATTATTAATTCCTAGGGCACCATAAGTGCATCTTGTATATTATTTCTTAAGCTGCTCCTTCCTGGAATGCCACCGACTTCGAATTTACCTAAAGTCTCCTGACATTCTAACAAGCCTACTGCTTTGAGAGGCATATCTTACGTTTAGGTATTCCTTTCCAGTGCTTTATTCGATTCACATGATGGAATTTCGAAACTATCCAATAGGTGGCAAAGTGGAGTTGATGGTGGCATTGGCCTGATCCAAATCGCATTATTTGCCAGAACTTCATAGAGGCTCTGCCCGTCGTGGGGGCACAGCTATTGTCAACAATAAATACTGTCTTACAACGGTCGAGCAGAATCAACAAGTTCCCTTTTAATAATGTGAAAAAGAAACCATTTTGCCTTTTCGTTCAAATTTCATTGTATTTTTTGATGGTTGAGACTTCCACTGTTACGTGCTTTATTTATTTATTTTATTTGATTTTGAGATCACACACTGCCAAAATTGGTACTCAGCGATGAAGATAATTCCAAGAGTATGTTTGACTGTCTTTCTTGAAACCGTAAATGGTAGCACATGTTTGCGATATGCCATTCTTCACATCCTAGGTAATGTTAAATGCTTCTTTCTAGATTTTGCCAAGGTTCTACTTTGCTGGCGTTAGCGAAATATTTCCATAAGCCAGAACCTTCCCAAATCCAGATGGGAAAACAAAATGCAAGATATCTCAAAGCATTTGCTTCGATGCCTATTGCCCAATCAGAAGGGCATCTAATTGCACCATGGATTTCAGTTTCTCAAATGCTCTTTGATAGTGAGCCGATCAAAATCTGTTAAACTTTTTGAAGAGGAGAAAGATCAATTGTTTGCGAACTTCATTCAAGAACGGTCAAAAATTTACGTGGTTAAAAAATTAATCTCGTTAATGAACGAATAGATTCGCAGGTTAACAATAGTTCGAACTTGTCAAAGTCGAAGTCGAGCAATTTATAGATTTCAAGAACTCACACCCAAAAGTTCCAAGTGGGTTGATGTTTAACAAAGCATTTTACGGAAATACATTGACAACCAGAACAAACTCCGTGATCAAGTTCACCTCCTAGTGAGGAAAAGGTCACCAGAAGTGTTTTTAATGAAATGATTTATCTGTTTTAGAACTAGACACCTCAAGGGCAGAGGTAATACCCAAATGTAGTTCGACTTTCTTACACTTAGCCTTCAATTTTGCGCACTATCGCCTGCCAGAACTTCTGCCTTTCTAGCTTGAATTCACTGCACAGAGAGAATTGAAAATATAATTGAGCATAACCAATTTCACCCGCATTCTGTGGAAACATACTGAAGTTCATTGATCCGTAAAACAAAGTTATCAGAACACACTTGTGCGGTAGAGTTTTGGATTGCTCAATGATTCAGATTTAGATGCTTCATTGACTGTACATTTAGTCGCACAAAAATTTTTCCGCATCAGTATTTAAAAAGGGGTGTGCGATAGACTTACCTCCACGTGGTGCA